ACCTTGGAAGCTGGGGAGGAGAGGATGTCGGGGTGGTGCAGTGGCATCAGCGATGCTTTTGCTGGAGCAGCACCAGGGCCCAGTCCATGTTCCTGATCATAAATGTTTGATACCTGGCTCTCTCACCCACCTGGAATTCAGCATCCTTTAAAAATGCACACTCTGCTTAAACTATTGAGTTTAGTTTTCACTAAGATCCTTGACTGATGCCACACCCCTGCTTAGCTTGGTGGTTAAGGGCAGGTCGCTCCCGCCAATGTTCTCTGTGCTCTCCTGCTCATCTCCCCATGGCCCAGTCAGCCTGGGAGTCTGGCATGGGTTTCTCTAGCCTTCTCTCTCACAGGCTGTCAGGAGGAGTAGCTACCAGACCAGCTTAACCATCTGTTAGTATATTCCAAATAGATGGTCTGATATCTCTCTTTAGAAAATGTGAGCATTGACTATCTTTATCTTCGACTTTAGGGCATCTGCCGAATTCTGGGACAACAGGAAAAGTCCCACTCTACACCTTGTCACATACATATTTTCTCTATATATTGTGTAAGTGGGATCATCATCTATTTATCATTTGGTAACCTTTTTTATTGTTACATTGCAGGCAACTTTCCATGTTAATGAAAATAGTATACCTTCATCCATTAAAAAAAAACCAAACAGCTGTATTGTTGAAAGAACTATTTACAAACAATAAAAAACACCCATTTTAAAAGCACACTTGGAACCATCACAATAAATATTTAAAATATTGCCAGAAGTTTCCTCATATTCCTTTGCAGTCAGTCCTTCCCAGTCTTCCATTTAGCTTCATCCTTTTCAATAGCTGTAGGATAATCCCGTAATACAGAAGTTCCTTAATTTATTTACCTAGTCTCCTATTGATATTTGCATTGCTTTCAATTTATTATTTTGATTTCTTATCAACACATATTTGTGGAGCACCTACTATGTGCTAGGTGTGATATATAAGTTCAGGAAACTTCTATATGTGTGTATGCATCTGGTATTCCCCTAAAACATATCCTTTAACAGTTGAATTGTGGGGTCAAAGAGTGCACAGTAAAATAATTTTAATAAATATTGTCAAATCACCTTTCAGCAAATTTCCAGCAATTTTCACTTTTATCAACAATGGCTCAGACAGTAAAGAATCTGCCTGTAATGTGGGAGACCTAGGTTCAATCTCAGGGTTGGGAAGATGTCCTGGAGAAGGAAATGGCAACCCACTCCAGGATTCTTGCCTGGAGAATTCCATGGACAGAGGGGACAGAGGAGCCTGGTGGGCTACAGTCTGTGGGTCACAAAGAGTTGGACACAGCTGAGCAACTAACACACACATGTATATCTCAGTGATGTGCATGAATGGTCATTTTCTCACGCACTCATCAGTACCAGGTATTATAAGTCATTCCCAGTCCATTAGGAGAAAAAATGGTTTGAATTTATGTGTCTTTGCTTACTGATAATGTGGACCCACTTTGCATTTGTGACTTTTATTTGGTTTCTGGAAATGACTGCCCCAGGAGCCAAACTCCCTTGACTTCGCCACTCAGAGTGAGGTCGTGACTGGATTCTCTCCACTGAACTGGAAGGACATCTGGTCCTATTGGAAGTGGGACAAAGGTCACCTCTCGAGTCCTGATGGCTCCCTGCTTGCCCTTGAGCAGCCACTTCGGGTGAAGCACCCCCAGATTGGGGTTGGTCCTTGTCTCTTCTGTGATTGGACCTGCCCCAGCAGGTACCCCCGAGGAGGTCTGTGTCATTTACACGTCTAAGCTGGCAGAGAGTGGGTGGAAATATAGCAGGCTTAACTTAGCTATAGTTCCTGGTCAACTAGATAAAAGTCATTATCAAAGGATAAGAATTTTAGCAAAGTCTCTTTTTAATAAGTAAGTATATACAAAGAACTGACTCATTAGAAAAGAACCTGATGGTGGGAAAGGTTGAAGGCAGGAGGAGAAGGGGACGACAGAGGATGAGATGGTTGAATGGCATCACTGACTTGATGGACATGAGTTTGAGCAAGCTCCGGGAGTTGGTGATGGACAGGGAAGCCTGGCATGCTGCAGTCCATGGGGTCACAAAGAGTCAGACACGACTGAGCACCTGGACAGAACNCTGTGCTTAGTTGCTCAGTTATGTCCAACTCTTTGTGACCCTATGGACTATATAGCCTGCCAGGCTCCTCTGTCCATGAGATTCTCCAGCCAAGAATACTGGAGTGGGTTGTCATGCCCTCCTCCTAGGGGTCTTCCTGACCCAGGGATCGAATTCACATCTCCTGCATGTATATTAAGGGAGGGCAACAGTGAGGCAAGTGAAGTGGGCAAATGAGGGGAAAGTGGGCAAAAGAGAACACATGTGCCACTAAAGACATGAATTTTATGATAAGCAATTTATATAAAGTTATATGTTATACATGTGTGTGTATATATATATATATATATATGAATTAGGAAGTTAGAAAAGTGTAGATCTTTCTCTATTGGCCAGAAAGGATTTCCATTATATGTTGCTAAGTGATAAAAGCAAATTACAGAGTTGGTTTTATTTTGCTAAACACAAACCCCCCCAAAATTAGCTTATATCTGTGAGTACATGCTTACATAATTCTGAGCAAGGATTTCCACACCTGGGTGTTAACCTAGGACCTCAGGGGAGACATGGAGGGTTAAAATGGAGGCTGGAGAGAGGTTATCTTTAATATACATATATATGACTATGTATACAAAAATATACATCTTTGCTACATCTGGCCAGTCCCTTAAAGTGGATTGTAAATTTGATTAGACATGCAAGACTAGATGCCAGGATTGAGTCTAAATTAGGTCATGTGGTTATGGGTAGCACTGCAGGCTCACTTCATCAGCAAGTGATTAAAAAGACCAAAAGCCATTCATTTGGAAGCCAGATGTTGGCCATGAACATTGAGAAGAAAATCAGAATAGCAGGTCAGAGGCTCCTGACTGGGCAACTCAGGACTCGGGCTTCTATTGAAGAACTGTACACAAAAAGAAAAACCTATAAAAGAAAGGTGAAATAATAAAACCTTTGTATCATGGTGAAGCATTTTAGAAACAACATGTTTAGTATAAATTTTGGAAAATTTAAATAAAATTGTGCTTCATTTAAAAATATATACATATGTGTCTTTGTATTATTTTATGTGTTGCAGTGGACATTTACCTATAATGTATCAGTGATCTGTTACCACAGTAATACCACATAACAACCATTCCCAAAACTTGGTGGGCTTAGAGAAACAAACCTTTCCTAACAGATGGCTGAAGACTGTACCTGCCAGTGTGAGGAGTCGTTAGTGACCTGATATTTATAAGGAAGTTTACAGCTTTCAAAACACTCCTTTGTAATGTTTTGTTCTTCTCACCTCTCTGAATTTTAATTTCTATCTGTGCATCTGTCTTATCACTAGCCCACGAGTTTTCTGAGTGTCTCTGTTATCTTGATAACCCCAGTCTTTGGTATACTCCTAGAGGACACCAGGTGCTAATAAATGGCTAAAGAATGATTTTGAAAAAAAGGAAATTTTATTTAGGTCATGGGTCTGTGGCTCTGCAATTTAGGTTGGGCACAGCTGTGTGACTCTTCTGGACTTGACTGAACTCACGTGTCTGGGGGTGGCTGTCCTTGGCCGGGGTGGCTGGGCATGCTGGCTGTCCTGGAAACATGTGAGAGAGAGGGCAAGCCCAGTCACATGAGTGCTTTCTTGTTAACTGATCAGGGTTCTGCAGAGAAACAGGAGCAACAGGATATATATATGTGTGCATGTGTGTGTTTCTGTGTGTGTATGAGAGAATAAAGAGATTTATTATAAGGAACTGGCTCACGGGATTACGGAAGCTGAGAAGTCCAGACCCAGTAAAGCCAATAGGATAATTTTGAGCCTGAGTCTGAAAACAGAAGGCTGATGCCCCAACTCACAGTCACTGAGGCAGAGAGAGAGAATTCTCTCTTGCTGCTGCTGCTAAGTCACTTCAGTTGTGTCCGACTCTGTGCGACCCCATAGACGGCAGCCCGGCTCCCCCGTCCCTGGGATTCTCCAGGCAAGAACACTGGAGTGGGTTGCCATTTCCTTCTCCAATGCATGAAAGTGAAAAATGAAAGTGAAGCCACTCAGTCGTGTCCGACTCGCAGTGACCCCATGGACTGCAGCCTACCAGGCTCCTCCGTCCATGGGATTTTCCAGGCAAGAGTGCTGGAGTGGGATGCCATTGCCGTCTCCGAATTCTTTCTTACTAGCTTCTTATTCTCTTCAGGCCATCTACAAATTGAATGAGACCCACCCGCACTGGCCAGGGCAGCCTCCTTTACTCAGTCTACCCCATGGACTGCAGCCTACCAGGCTCCTCCGTCCATGGGATTTTCCAGGCAAGAGTACTGGAGTGGGGTGCCATTGCCTTCTCCGTAATGGAATACTAGTCAGCCATAAAAAAAAGAATGAAATAATGCCATTTGCAGCAACATGGATAGAGATTATCCATGAAGTAAGTGAAGCTAAGCTAAGTAAATCAGACAGAGAGAGAAAGATACCATATGATCTCACTTACATGTGCAATCTAAAAAAATGATACAAATGAACTTATTTACAAAACAGAAATAGACTCAGAGACATAGAAAGCAAACTTATGGTTACCAAAGCTGTGGGGGAGATAAATGAGAAATTTGGGATTAACATAAACATACCATTATATATAAAATAAATAACAAAGATTTTACTGTATACCACAGGGAACTATATTCAATATCTTGTGATAACCTATAATAGAGAAGAATCAGGAGGCAGATAGAGATATATAACTGAATCATTTTTCTGTTAGTTCTGAAACTAACACAACATTAAATTAACTATAATTAATTTAATTAACTATAATGTAAATTAACTATACTTCAATTTTTAAAAATGGTTTAAAACAGTATAATAAAAGTAATGCATTCAGTAAAGTAAATTTTCAACATGAAATCAGAGCTCATTAATGGACTTACCCCATATGCATATTGTACAGAAAAGAGAATAAGTATGAGTGACCTACAAGAAAACAAAAATGCAGATTAATTTCAACTGTCGATTTTCATGCAAAACAAACTAAAAAGCCAAAGGACATAGGAATTAACTCCAGAAAGCTTTTTATTTTAGTTTCTAATAGGTTACTGTCACCAGTTGATGGACATCAGTGACCAGATAAATGTTACCCTCTCTCCAGATAGCATCACCACATTTCCTCAGTCAAGAAGTACTCACACCCTTTAATGTGGCCCTTACTGTGCTGGGTACCATAGGGACACTGGGAAGGTGAGACCTGGATGGATGGATAAAGGGAGATGACTCTCAGAATAAAAACTAGAGGAAAGCAGGAAGTGAGCAGCTTTGCCCAGGAACTACTGTAAAGATTAAGGTATCCTGAATGCTGTTAAGTGGGAACGACCAGAAGGAGGGAGAACGGAAGAAACCTAACTGGGCTGAGGAGATGATTTGGGAAACAGTATGGAAAAAGCCTCCTTCCCATCACCCTCTCTTCCTTCATAGCCCATCAATACATGCTCATTAGCTTCAAAATTTTCCATATTTTTCACTATTTAACATTTCCCTGTCATAACTCCCAATATTTTGTAGGCACTTTGAACAATCTCATACTATTAATAGTTTGCTACTGCTGCTGTAGCACATGACCACAAACTTGGTGACATAAAACAACAAAAATTTATTTTCTTATCATTCTAGAGGCCAGAAGTCTGAAATAGGTCTCGCTGGCAAAAATAAAAATTAAGATGTTGGCAGGGCTGTGTTTCTTCTGAAGGCTCCAAGGGACACTCGGTTTCCTTGTTTTTTCTGGATTCCAAAGGCTGCCTGCATTCCTTGGCCTGTGGTCCCTTCCACCTTCAAAGCCAGCAGTGACCAGTCAAGTCTCTCTCTCGCTACACCCCTCTGACCGCTGCTTGCATCATCACATCTCCTTCTCGACTCTCAATCTTCTGCTTCCCTCCTTCACTTCCAGGGTTTTAGTCCCTCAATTGTGCCCGACTCTTTGCGACCCCATGGGCTATAGCCTGCCAGGCTCTTCTGTCCATGGGATTCTCCAGGCAAGAATATTGGAGTGGGTTGCCATTTCCTTTTCCAGGGGATTTTCCCGACCCAGGGATAGAACCCGGGTCTCCTGCATTGTAGGCGGATTCTTTACTGCCTAAGCCACCAGGGCAGCCAAAAGGGGACACCACGGCTGAGTGGGCTGGGGGACCCTTGTGATTATACTGGGTCCCTCAGATAATCCAGGACAACTTCCCCTTGCACGGTGAGCTGATTAGCAACCTTAATTTCATCTATAACCATAATTCTCCCATGCCACATAACAGAACACATTCAGAGGTTCAATGGATTAGGGTGTGAACAGCTATGGGGAGGGTCATCATTCTGCCTACCACACTCATGCAGTGCATTGTCCTAACTGCTATAACTGCTAGTTATAGGGACCCTGCAGCTCTGGACACGAGAAGGATTTTGCTATTCAAACCCAGTGAATAGGAGAGCAAGAATCTGTGGCCTTGTACACTCTCCCACTGGGTGACTGTGTGGCTGCAATTCTAGAAGAGTAGAGAGAATTGCTGCTTAATAATAGATGTGCTGTTTAATAGGACAGCAGCAGGTAAAATTTATAGATTTCTGGAATTCTTTGGTTTTTTGACACTCAGATAATTTATACCTATAAAACCAACACTGGGGAGAAATCACTAAATAAAAGCCAATGATCACACTTGAGGACACTCACCAGGAATCTGATGCCAAGAGCTTGTTGCACCTGAAAGAACGCCTTACCAATGCCATGTGCACAAATTACTTCATATTCAAGTCTTGGTACTCAACAAAAACTCTGTCACTCTTTTCTCTTCCAGAAGACTCTCATATATAAGTGAGGTTCTATGTCCTGGGTTTAAAGTCTGTATATGACAAATATAAAATATTTGTATGCATTTAAACATTGAAAATAATTGCTTTCATTATTCAGTTAGTGACGGAAATATTTTCTAAAGGGGAACTTCCACAGTGTTTTGACATAACACTCTGTCCTTAGTGATGAGTAAACTGAATATATATCAATTTTTAATTCTTAGAAATAAAAATATCAAATCCTTTCATTCATAAATACATTTTTCAGAAATGAAAATATACATGTACATAAAACTTTTATAAAAATTATGTTTCATTTTGTTATTTAATCTTTTCTCTTAAAAATTCAAGCTAAAATTCACTCAAGTGCTTTTATTTTTTGAAACTAAAAAGGAATCCCCTAGTATAGAAATGAACATTTTTCCTACAAACAGCAAAGATACACAAACATGTTTTATGTAAAATGGTACAACATTTTGGCAGGTTATCAAAAAGTTAAACACAGAGTTACCATATGACATAGCAATTTCATTCCTAACTAATTCCTAATTTTGTCCAAATTGACAAAATGTGTTCATATATAAACCTGTACATGAATATTTACAGCAGAATTATTTGTAATAGCCAAAAATGGGAATGACTCATTTCCATTGATGAATAATAAGCAAAACGTGCTACATCTATACAGTGAAACACTTGTTGTTGTTTTTAGTCACTAGGTCATGTCCAACTCTTTTGAGACCCCATGCACTGTAGCCCAGCAGGCTCCCCTGTCCATGGGAATTCCCAGGCAAGGGTACTGGAGTGGCAGTTGTTCCCTTCTGCAGGGGATCTTCCCAACCCAGGGACTGAACCCATGACTCCTGCATGCAAGTGGATTCTCTACCACTGAGCCACCAGGGAAGTTCCACAATGGAATATCTGACCATAAAAAAAGAATGAAGTACCAACCAGTGCTACAACATAGAGGAACCTTGAAAATGTGATGCCGAGTGAAAGAAATCACGTACAGTATAATTCCATGTGTATGAAATGTCAGAATAGGCATATCCATAGAGACAGAAAATATTAATAGATTAGTAATTATCAAAGGTTGGAGGAGGTATGGGGTTTTCTGGAGGGCAATGTGTTATGGGTTTAGATAGGGTAATGGTTGCACAATATTATAAGTACACTAAAAACCACTGAATTATAAACTTTAAAAGAGTGAAAATGTTGTGTTTTATTTTTGAAACTTATCTCAATTTTAAAAAAGAAAAAAATATCTTGACTCCAAGTACCATATACTATGAGAAAAGCTCTCTTTGGCTGAAGGAATTTGAAATGTCTCATCTTTAAAACTTTGGCTTCTCTAAAGACCCGTACCTGTCAGAATTGAGTACAGAGAAGGAAATGGGAGTGTAGAATGTTAAACTTATTTTTAAATTTCTGGATAAAATCTAGATAAACTCAATCAATGTTGTATTTATGACAGACTAGTTTTCCAAGTAAGCATCAGAATGATGTTCCATGATAATTTCAAAACCAAGTAGAAACAGAATCACTTTGAGTATCTAGATCTTTTCCCATTCCTAAATCCATCATTGAAGTAGTTTTCTATTTGCCTTCTAGAAGCATGTCTCAATAAAACCAATTACTGTTTTTAAGAGGAATACATAAATTGGCTTGAAACAAACTGTATATGATATTTCAGACAAATAGGAAACACAGTCAAAAATTAAAGAACACCAGAGGTATTTGCTTTTTAATCTCAAAATAGATACATCATGCAATTAGTCTGCACACATAATGTGATAAAGTGTATCCCTCCCCCCATTTCTATCCTAGTGCAATATGATTTTATACTTGAAAATCATATTAATCACTCCACTATACTTCTCTGCAACAAAAATATGTATATAAATTCAATATTTTCATTTATGATCATAAATTTCTGCATCTTAAAAAATGTTTTTCTTCTGGGTTGACATTATTATGGTTATTAGTAGCATATAATTCATCCAAAAAAATAAGTATGTCTTGATAAACAATTATGGTTGTTGTTTAGTCGCTAAGTAAACGAGCTGCCAAAGGTAAAACAGTGTTGTTGACAGTTTTACCTGGAGCAAGCCTCAGATGACTATGAGCTCATCTCGTGCATCTGTCTAGCCTGAAAACAAAGCCACAGAGGAGTCACAGAGACTTTAGAACCATTCTCCTGGCTGGAGCGCAGCTCCAAGGTCACAGCTAAGCAGAGGCGCATCTGGCCGTCAGCTGGACACCGTGAACAGTGGTGTGTAGCGGGCTCTACAGTTCCCCAAAGGTTGTCTACAACAATCCACAGCAATCTACAAATATTTCCTTTGCTGCAACCACCTGTGTTAAGAGCACAAAACTTTTTGTCTCAACCATGCTTTTGATGACACCGAATAAAATTTCTCATAAATAAAAGGCTGTCATCACATGGGAGAGGTCAAGGCAGTGTTTCTATTGAAGTTTGTTTTAAAAAAAGAAGAAGGTATAAACAATTCGAGTGCTATGCCACTAAAACATATGCAAACAACAGCTTTGGGAGACTGTCTACCTAGGAAACTTTTGCAAAAGTTCTGTACCTTTCAAACGGTATGCTTTATTCTGCCAACTGTTATTCTCAGGCAAGGAGTGTTGAGTGCTATGGAGGGCTATATCGGAGCCCCCTGCCCCAGGCCCCATCTTTGGCTCTTAACTGCGGGGATAATCAGGTTTCCACCACCTGATTCCATCTTCTAAGCACATGGAAAGGTTAAGGATAACCACCTGACCCAACCCAGAGCTTGACTTAGTGACACAGAACTCTGAGCCGGAGGATGGTACAAAAACATCAGCTGAACCAGTCCTCTTGGAGAGTTGAAATGAGGACACTGAGAGAAGAAAGGGAGATGAGGGAAGAAGGATACGTTCTGTACATCCTCAAGTACAGCTGGGTGTTAGAAAACTGCGACAAGTCAAGGTCAAGTGCAAGTCTGAGTTTAGAAGAGACAGATAAACTGCGTAATCAGACAAAGTTGTTTCCAAGAAAATGCAAAAACAAAGACAGACAGATAGTCTCAAGAAAGGAGGAAAAATCAGCTCATTCCTGAGAGCCCTCCCCTACCCAGTTCTTGATGTAGTCTTGAGGTCAACTCCCTTTTCTTGAGCAAACCTGGGCAGCGAGTCTGATAAAAAGCACCGCCCTCACCGCAGCTGGTCCCAAGGCTGCGTGCGACACACCTCGGGAGGCCATCTGGGGCCACCCACCCCCAACGGGGAAGCTAAACATACGTGCCCTGAGCCTTTGACATTCATCTTGTTCACTAACCCAGTCCGTAATAGGCTCTTGCCCAGCAGTATATTTCTATCAGGTATTTCTAGCATGTATATTTCTATCATGTATTTCTAGCATGTATATTTCTATCATGTAATTTCTAGCATGTATATTCAGCAGATATCATGGTGTTCTCTTTCTCCAATTCTGGGATTTTTTTCCCCTCCGCACATCTTTATGAAAACGCCCAGACTCCAGTTTCCCTGGGACTCCTTAAGAGTCTCTGTCCAATGTTTTCCAAAGGCCTGGGAAAAGGATCTGAGAGCCTCCAAGCCATTCTCAGTACCCTGGGGAATTTGTTTTCACTGCAACCTCATCTTGAATACAAATACAGCCCGGCTGGAGTTCTCATCCACGGGGGCTAGTCGTGGTGGTTGGTGGGGGGAGTGGGGGCGGGGCAGGGAGGGGAGGGCCAAGACTGGAGGACCAGATAAACAGGAGACTGAGGACTGGAATCTTCTAGCCACAAAAGGTAGCAGAGATACAATGTCTTTTCTTTTCCCAAGGAACATTAAGTCTTCGAGCTCTTTCGAACAATATTTGCCCTTTCAGGGAAATCATTTTCTATTAATTCAATGACTACATGTTCTTTCCTTTGACTTTCTGACACTGAGCTATCTGAAGACTCTCTCTCCAAGGTTAAATTTTTTGGATGGTCTGAACATGTATTTCTATATACTTTTATCTTTCCAAAGTAGAATTCCTAAAGGCTAAGCTTTTGTAGAGAAATAATCAAGGGTCAAGGGGCCAGGGTGGGGGGGTCGGGGGAGAGGCGGGGTGGTTAGAAAAATGCTCCCAGAAAAAGAATGGCATTCCTGGGGCTGGATATCTCCTCTGAGGCTTATACCTTTCCTGTTACGGGATCACCTGACCTTTCCCCAACATCCAGGTTGATTACTTTCTAAAATCCCATATCTTTGGGTTGCCTCTAGCTGCAGACTTTCAAAGCCTCCAGGTTGATGAGAGCTTTTTAGTGAAAACAGTCAATCCCATCAACCATCACAAAGGTTTTTAAAGCAAGTCACGAACCCATGTGGTCCATGGACTACCGGAATGTGGCTGGAGCATCATGTTCCCTGAGAAGGAACTGGGGAAAAAAACTTGAGAACGACTCAAGTAAATTCTTGAGAATATCTCTACATTCCAACAGGACCAGAAGGTTGTTGGATTGTGGTCAAGCCTGCCCCCACCTTGTCTTCCTTCTAGATTCAACTGAATTGTTTGACAGTCTTTGCACAATCCTCAGGTGACCCTGGAGTTGAGTTTGCTAGTCCAGGGCCAAATGGCTCATATCTCAGCTAATCTACCATTCTGCCAGTACAGGCTTTTATTAACATTTTTCTCCATGAGGTCTCCTCCCAGTATCAACAGAACACTTGACAACAATCATAAGAATGTCATAGGTGGGAAACACACAGAGGTGACACTGTTCCACAAACATACAACTGATTTTCAAAACTGGATGTGCCCTTTACTTCCAAGTCAAGAATGACATTCTTGACTCAGAATGCTGGAGGTCTCTTGCCAAAAACGCTACACCCCCAGGTTTCTCTTGGTCTGTGATTTTCCCCTGCAGGGCAGGGATGGAGCAACTCTGGATTCCCTTGGCCTTTCAGATTTCTGAGAGCTGCCTTTGGTATAAGCAAATCCCACTACCCACTGAGAAGTGCCCGCCTGCAACCAAGAGTACTGAAAGACTGGCATTCACCTTTGAGGACGGCTTCCCTC